GAAACCCTTCCCGAGGAAAGAGGGAGGCCTGCATGTCCACGTTGATGCAGAGTAAGCCCAGCATGAGCTGGCGCTGGTAATCCTCCCACTTCATCATGACATCAGACAGGGAACGGTTGCTTCTCATCCACATAGGCAGTGCTTCACCACAAGCCGGTGCAGAAGAAATTGGCAGGCTCTGGGGCCCTCCAAGCTCGAGGTGATAGTAAAGCCTAAAAGGCAAACACATGCAAAGAATCAGTACATGGGAAGACTTGAGCCGGTCACCAGACTAGAGCTCCAGAACCACAGAGCTTTTTTATTCTACCACTGACTGCATGATCTTAGTCAGAAGTCTCCGTGTGTGCCCGTTTTCCCCCCTCACATCTCTTGATTATTCAGACCATGAGCTCTTGTGGGTAAGAATCACCCCCTTGTACTAGGATCTGAATCACAGCTGGGACCCTCTGCCTACTTCTGTAATACGGAGTTTCCTATCCTCATCCAAGCAACAGTCTTGCCTCAGCCTCAAGCCATGGCCTACTGCGGGGAGTTCAGTTCAGAAGCACAGGAACACACACAGACCCAAAGCACTCTGTCTCATTTGGAAACCCTCTGGTGTTTCCTGGCCACCCTAGTGCCTCCCCCACCCTAAACCAGGCCTAGATCTCGAGGCAGAAAAGATCATTTGAATGCAAGTACCCGTCGGAAGGAACTTTTTGGGGATCCTGGGCCAGCAAATGCCACACAGACAAGCACCTCTGTCTTCTACAGGGAGCATGGGATAAGCTGGCATATTGTTTTAATTAGACCTACTTCTGCCCTATTGTTATAGTAACAGCTTCATTACAGGGTCTGCCCTCTAATGGGAAGAAGAAAGGAGACCATGTGCTGAGTCTATCCCAACAGTTAATGAAGCCAAGAGACCATGGACCAGATTTGCGTTTTAGGTTGGGCAGTAAATCCTTCTGGTCAATTTGTGCCTTACTTGCTCTGCGCCAATGCAGTAGAGTCTGCAGAAGTCAAAGGTGGAAGGGGTAATGGAGGACTCCTCCAGAATAGCGCTGTGGAGGAAAGCAGCCATACCTGGCTGAAAGATGGCTGCCCAGTTTCTTCTTGGCTTTCTTCACAAGATAGTTGCAGATTTCAGTCATCTGCTCCCTCATCCATCTAATATCCTCAGGGATATCTGGGAGCCATTCCAGCAACCTGGGAAGAGACAGGAGACAACCATTACTTGGGCCACACAAAGGATAGGATGGGAATAACACCAGTTTTGCTTCCTATCAATGGTTACTCATTATTTTTAGTGACAAATGCAGCAAGAGCCATTTACACTACCATTCATAGAATTAAGGGGGAGTAATTAAGTATGAGAACAGCCCAGGAACATATTCTTTACATTTTGCATCTGCACTTTCCATATTTTTCATCCATTTTCAGATTTGAAAAGTGTTTTTCCCCAAGCCTTTCTATCACAAACTACCCCCTTCCAGAAATTTTTCATAAGGTACTTTGTACTAAGAACAAGTCTGAAAGACCTGTCTTCCCAGCCGCGTAAGTGTAGAGCTGGAAATGGCTGGGACTTCTCTACCCATTGCTCCAGAGGGGAGCCACCTCTTGTGTGGTTCCTACTTTCATCCCTGCACTCCCAGTTCAGAAGTCTCTCTCCAGGCTCCAAAATTTATCACCACTTTCTAGGGAAAGTTCCAGCATACAGCCATCTTCCTTGCTTCCAAATTGGAGTTATTGGCTGTAGCTAATAGACATATGAAGGTAGGAAATTTTTTTTTCCCCCCCCATATGTCCGATAAATGGCAGGAACTCTTTCCTCATAGAGAGAATTCTACTTTCTGTCCATTCATGCTCCACCAGCTACATCAAACACTTGGTTTCACTGGGAAGAAAACCACTGAGGGAACCAGTCGAAGGCCTACCTGACAGTGAAGGAAACTGCAGACTCCAGAGGCAGCATACAGGGGACCATCATTGCCGTGGCCACACGTATAGGCAGCATATTGGTGATATCAGTCAAGAAACTTCTTTTTTCAGCACAAGCCTCTAGAAGAGCTGAAGACAGAAGAGAACATGGCTGAATCTCCCCAATGGGACCGTTCCTTTTCTCGTCGTACCCCAGAAGTTACCCAGCCTGATGTCTCCCCTCTCCACCTTCCACTTCTTAAGGAAGTCTTGCTCAGGGTAGTAATTCTCTCACAGCTGAGACTAGCAGCTTTTAGCTTTATCAGACTCCCAAAGGAGTGAGCATCAAGATGCCCTCCTCTCCTTACCATGCAGAAGACTGTGACCCTCTCCCAATTCAGCCTCCACAGGGTAAGCCACAACTTTATCTAAGAGTCCCCAACTCCATCTAACCATCAGCAGGTGCCAGTTCAATCCACAGGTATGGCCAAGCCCAGGCACAGACAATACCCACATCCCAGTAATCCTCTGAAGTGGACCAGGCAGCACAGGAAGATTGCCTGTGCTCTCTCCCTTTGGATCATACCTTGGCTCAGTCTGGGAGACAAGTGTTCAAAGATGTGCTCTTCAACAACAGCAAGGGCAGTATTGTCCTCTAGTTGGTCCTCAGCTTCTGTTTCTTCCTTTTTTTCCTCTTCTGGGGGGGCTTCTATGGCAAGGAGAGGACGGGCAGGACTTGGACGGTGAAGGAGACCTGAGAAGAGAAGTTATACCATAAGGATGATACAAACTAGCTGCCCTGCCTTGCCTGGCCTTTAGAGTGTTAGCCCTCATTTCACCCTAACTCCCCTCAGACAGACAGACATCATACCCTCTTTAGCTTACATCTATTGTAATGCTTACCACAATGAATTAGAAACCTTGCTGCTTTAAGATCATCCTCTCTTTCCCCACCAGAAATTCTAACTTTTCCCCTTTAAGTACCGCAGGGTGCTGTTTGGCAGTGTTTTGTTGCTATAATCTGCCAGTCACCAATCTTGTAGGTCAGATTTCCTTCCTGCAGCTTAATCCACAAATATAGCTGCATGACTGCTCTTATCCCAGTACGGTACACATCACAAACAAATGTGCTTGATCCACTATAAATTGACACTAGGTGGCATCAAACACTCACTCAACCTGCTACAACAGTCAGAGGCAAGAAAGTCCAGCGGTTGCATGTAGGAGAGAGTGAAACAGTAGTGTCAAACAGCCAGGTGCTGGGGGCTGCTGAGGGCATGCCTGCACTCTGCACTGCTGTGCCACATTAGACATACCCTAGCTGCACATAAAAAGGAGAAGGGTATCTGCAGGAGGTCCAAATGGCACTGGTGCCTAACAACTGTGTTGGTGTGGCACTGAGCACATGCTAAGTAGCTTCAACACTCAGTTGTGCCAAAGCCACCGCTCTGGTATCAGAGTGGTTAGAGTCCTTCTGCATTGCACTGGAAAGGTGTTCACTCCACCTCTCCTTCCTGAAGTGCTAAAATAGACTTATGAATGGAAATTCCATATTCTGATATCTGAGGTACAGCTCAATTCTGCCCTTCCACCTTTCATAGGCACTATTGGCTATTCTCAAAGCCAAGCCACCAAGCCAGGCACAAAAGAGGCAAGTCAGTGCACCCTACAAACACCCAGTGCATTACCATTCTTCTTCAGGAAGTGCAGCGCATCCCGATAGCCCTGCTTGCACATATCCCGCAGTACCTGTGGGCAGAGGAAGGCAAGAGCAAGTCATTTGGAGATTGTCTGGCTGAGCCTGGCAAACACCCAGCTCAATGCTGGCTTTAGAGGAATCCTCCTGACTCCTGAGCTACCCCAAGGGCAAGTCTCATCCTTGCCAGCTCTTCCCAGGTTTTGACCAGGAATGAGAGGTATAACACAAATACATTGGATATGGGAATCACAGGATAAACCAGATTGGAAGGGACATCTGGAATCCTATAGGCTTAGAGTTGCAGCCCATCTAGAGCTGATGCTGCTGCGGGCAGCCTTCAGCGAGTCATTCTGACAGTCAGACCAGAATACCTCCCAGCAGATGCCAGAAAGGACCACTGCATTTGCAGATAAAGCCAGCTAAGACTAGAGAGGAGGCAGGGAAAAACTTGTCCAAGTAATTCAGCACATGAATGCATGCTTATCACGCCCAAATGCCAGGGCTAACAGAGGCTGCGCTTGCTCAGAAGCTTGCGAAGCTGCTTGCAGTGCCACCTGCTCTACTGGCACTTTTTAGGAGACAGTCACTGGCTTCAGGTTGGCAGCTCTATCCCGACCTTAAAAAACTCAAGAGCGCGTTGGTTCCAATGGCTGATACATCCTTGTTTAGAAGTGAGCCTGACTTCCTGGCAAACGCCACTCTAGAGAGAGCCACATGGGAATACTTTCCAAGAAACTGCTACCACCTAAATTCCAGATCTCCCAGTAGCAAAAGAAAACCAAGTGACCTCTACAACCTTGTGCAGATGGTCAAGGTTTGCCAAGTCACTGGGTTGATAACGTCAAGGTTAAAAAAAAACAGACAAGCAAGAGAGACAAAACTAACAGCGTCTGGAATCTTCTTCTGCTAAAGTGCACAGTATAGCCAGTGCCTATCTATCGTCCTCAAGTTCTGGTGCTGCCAGGAAACTCACCTGCGGCTCTGGAGGAAACAGGGCCTTTGAGAGGCGGTAGAGGTTGCGAAGGTTGAACTGGATGCTTGTATTGGTGACTCTCAGCTCATGCATGTTTGTGGAACTGTCCCGTGGACAGATATCACTCTCTCCTGAGAATGGAGACACTGTGATTGTGTTCTTCAGCTCATATCGTGGCAAGTTGTCAGAAATGCCTCCATCAACATATCTCTGAAATCAAGACAAATGAAGTACTCTTCACTCTTCATTCTCATAACTGATCAAGCGGCTTATTTTACTCTATGTCCCTGTTCATATTTGTGCCAACAACTTGGGAAGAGAATGGAGTACATCCACCAGCACTGGAGGAGTCAAAACCAGTGATAGCACAGCTGTGTTGTCTATAATATCCTTTTGCTATATGCCTTTCTTCCTACAGTCAAGTGTGTGGTCACAAGTGTTCAATAAGAAAGGCATATTCACTTGTGTGACTGCTGACTTACATCTCCTATGGGGTTTGACTGCTGTCCAGTTAAATAATATAACACACCAACAACCACCTGCAGTGCAAATTAGCACTGATCTAAGCTGTCACGCTGTGACATTGTGCCATTTTTCATTTGCATTTAAAACAAATAAGCTCAGACACAGGTCCCCACTGGTGGATTAAGAGTAAACTAAGAGTTAAACTAAGAGTAAAATCACCTGATCTATTGCTAGCAGGCTTATCAAGCAGCAATCCCAACACATGCATACACATTTGGAATCTACTTGCTGTGGTGTGATAATAGCATACAAGGGACTTGGATTTTGCTCCTAACAGGCACCCTCTTATCACAGAGTGTTCTGTACATATGTACCATAAATACATTTGTGCTACCCTTGCAGGAAGGACAACCCCAGTAGCATGTACTCAGTTGAAAGTATTCTCTGAAGTACCATAATTGCGCAAGGAGCTGAGCGAGACAATCTCTATCACAGGCCTTTGGCAGAGCAAGCAACATGCAGAAGATAAAAGGAAGGAGACTTGGTCAAGCCAAAAGAACAGGAAGTTTGAGACCTTTGCTGAGTAACAACTCAAGCTCCTGTGAACCTCAGTTACGAAAGAGTCCTGCTGACTTTGTAGCAGGGTTGATCCTGCCATTTGCTGCCCGAACCATTCCCTTTGGACAGGTTCAAGCACAAATCATCATCAGGAGCTACACAGCCCTATAAGCAGCAGCTGTAACATCGTTCAGCTCTGCTGGGTGAGGAGCTGAGCTGGCAGAGGCTGAACACAGGCAGAGCACAGAAATGCTGATCAAAAGAGGGCATACTCCATTCACTGTCATGCTTTGCCTCGTCTCACAGGCAGACTGACCACTGACATCGGTCTTTTGCTGCACAATGCCTAGGAAAATGCTGGCTGCTTTGCCTGGAGGATGCTTCGCACTTTTTTCTCTCCTGCTGTGGACAGCAGACAGGCAGACACCTCTTCAAGCAGCTCCTCTGAGCCTGGGGAACAGTTCATAGGCTCTTGGGCTGAAAGCAATCAAACTCAGCTATAGGAATCCAGCTCCCATCAAGGCAACAGGGTCAGGGTGGACTGCACAGCACATTTCTTGGGAGCAAACTAAACCTCGGGGCTACCTCTGCTTACAGCCTACAGGTTCAAGGGAGACTGCTTGTGACCACAGTTGTAGGCTACAGCAGCACTAACTCATAGTGCAGGGCATTTCATCCTCACATCAGGTGTTGTTCACCAAACACAGTATCAAGACAGACGTGGTTAGTGACTCCCACACCACCTGGGTTTGGGCAGTGAAGAAAGTGGAAGGATAGGTTAAACTCAAGGAAAAGTACACCCTGTTGGAAACAGGAACACTCAGCTTGCTTACAGGATGCTTTCTAGACCACAGAGGTGCCAAAAAATCAATTGAACCCTCACCCCCTTTTAAAGTGGGCATCAGTTTTCCCTAAGCCAAAAGCAACCATAGCAAACTGTCATTATCATCATCTCCCCAAAGCTGCCCCACTGAAACCAGATGAGGCACAGCTAGAGCTGGAGATGCCTGGCTGATTCTCTCTGCAAGGATGAGACCGTGGCAGGATGAGTGGGAAGAGGACAGAGCAAAGCAGGCAGCACAGTGCCAGACATCCACTTTGTTTAAAAAAGATGGAGTTGTGTTTTGGCCACTTAGCGAAGACACCACTAGTTTTGCAGTAAGGGTGCAGAAACATACGTTTCCCTGAGGGTGGCAGTATGAGTGAACGGATGCCATTAGAAAGAAGGCTTAACTACAGTAAGGCGGACAGGCAAAGCCTTCTCACTGCATGGAAATCTAGGAATACACATGCAGACTCCGCTCTCTGGTCCGCCATTCCCCAAGCAATGCCATTCCTTACTCAAGAGCAGAAGCCACTTCTCTGGATTTGCCTGAACCTCCAGCAACCCAGGACTAACCTCCAACCTCCTGCAAAGCCCCTAACAGCACAGGGCCACGGGCTGGAGACCCCAGCTGCCGGCAGGTGTGAGCAGCAGCAGCTTTTGGGGATAGTTCATGGACTGAGGTCAACTCTGGAGTGCCCAGTTCCATTCCCTTATCATGTCCTCCCCCTCACAGGGCCCCTCACTCACATGAACTGACACCTAGCTTTTTGACCCTTGTCATACTGCCTCAAAAACTGGTCCTCATGCCAGACCTGTCAGTCTGTCCTGTGGCAAATACAGTCATCACCAGCATGCTAGGAACCATGCAGTCCCATTTCAAAGACTTTTCCCAAGCTCATACCCAACCTAATTTAACCTTTCCCCTCACCAGTCCCCCTTCAGAGACACAAAGAGCCATGATTTTCTGGGGAAGAGGTAGGAATTAATTTCTTCATCTCATATATTCCCTTCCCACCTTTCCCCATGAGGAATCTTGACATGAAAAGTCATCCCTCAGTATGCCAGGGCAGCTGCACATTCCAGAGACCCTGATGTTGTATGCAGTTTTGGAATTTTGAGATTTTGCCTAATCCACACTGACCTCAGCTAGCCCCAAAGATGTGTCGGGCAAGAGCCACTGTTATGCTCCCTCCAGCTGTGGGACAAAAACCCTGCCTGCAGTAGTTGAGCAAATGCCAAACCATTACTGATTCTGTCACTTCTCTGAAGGGCTGGACATTTCTTCCAGGTCATTTCCCTGCCCAACATGCTTGCACAAGACAAAACCAGCCAAGTTGTATATCATGCAGGAGCAAAACTGACCTCGCTTTTAGGACACAGGTAGTAGTGGGGCAGATTTGATGCTGTGCTCTGACAGACTGAGGCATCTTGATCAGGTCACTTATGGGAAACCAGGGCACACATACATTAGTAGCAGTTCTCCCGCTCCCTTTTGACAATTTAGTTTGCAAACAAACTGCCTTTTAATGTATGCATTAACCTATGTGGCACAAGGGGAGTCAAAGCTCAACTGAGGCCCTTAAGCACGACTGCAATATTGAGAGACGCTCCAGCTCTGCGCAGCTTTCAAATGTTTTCGTTTCTAACATGCAAACACAGAAGGGAGAAATTGCTCTGGACAGCCTTGGACAGGATGTTAAAGAAAGCTCTAGCAGGTAGAAGAATATTATTCTCAGAGGAAGGACAGGAAGAACTCCACGGAAAAGAGGTCCGGTATCAACACCACTAGTTAAAACCCCACAGAAAGTGTCAGGCACATGGGAGAGGGACTACACTCATGATTTCTATCCTGGACACAAGTTCTTTCCACGTGCAGAGGGTTGGAGCCTCAGCGACAGACAGCGTTGTACCAAGCAGCCAGGAGAACCATCTGCTAAGTCAGCCAGCACTTGCCCAGATTGCTATATATTACTATCATGTTAAATCCTCTAGTCTTTGGGACTTTTATAGCCAAATGCAGGCAGCAGTGGAAAGAAGGCACACCCACTGTTGGAATTTGTTTATTTGGGAATTTCTGATGCCTCTTCAGGCTATTTGCTGCCAGCAGACAGCCAATAAGACTGCCAAAATTGAGTACCAGCATTTCTGCCTTCTTATTCAGCAGTACATGGTTTAATGAAGGAGCATCTTAGAGTCTTACTTACCACTCCACGCAAGGTTGGAGGTATCAGCCCACAGTAGACAGGGATAAAGGTGCTGCAGACACAGGCCTGAGGGAGAAAGAGATCCAGAATGTAAAAAGCAGATCAAAGCCTACTGAACATATTACTCTTCTCAGAACACCACACTGGCATGTGCTGACAATTACACACCATTACTAAGGACATCTGGAGACCAAGGCAAAACAAAACTGCATGCAGTTCCTGCCTAGCCCTCTGCAAAAAGTTTCCATTCACCTGGATCAGCTCCTCCTTGGAATTGAAGTCTGACAGTATCACATTTTCTCCATCAGAGACCCGCGTCAGGGAAATACCCAAACGTCCTGCTGCAACCTCATGCCCATTCTCTGGCACGGCCTTGGACAGGCAGATCCGAATGGTCTTCACCAAGTTGAAAGATGGGTGGAGTGGGCCCAAGAACCTCTTCCGGGCTTCTTTTGACACTCGAATAATGCTGGCGCCAGCCTCACCTGCAACGAGAGAAAGAAAAATGCACCATGAAATCCTAGCAAAACCAGCCTTCTCCTTTACAAAATAAGGCACAGAAAAGCCTACTTCATACCTTTACTCAGAAGTTTCTCCCCACTGGCTGATATATTACTCAAGACGAGAGGCTATTATGGGCAGTGTTATAGAAGTTATGGAAGTTTGCTCCCTCATCACAAGGGAGCCTCATCTTACATATGTTTTGTTAAGTCAAAGAAGATGACATGCATCTGGCTAAGGCCTCACACTTTTTCAGTAGATCCTGTTTCACTGGCCAATGCAGGGCTGGTGAAAACACAGACTAACAAAGAAAACAAGGAAGATGCTTTAAGAGCTTTGAGCTTATGGCTAAATCCATTTCAAAACATCTTCTACTAAAGATTTTCTAGTAAGCATCTTCTTTTTTCTGACATTATAAAAAGACATCTGCCTGTAAGCAGAAGTGCCGGCAAACAGGAATGTTGGTGCGTTCCCGCTAAGCGATCCCAGCTCTGCTATGAATATCAGCCACATCTTAGGTGAGCAAGACAGACACTATGCTCCATCAGGGAATCAGTGACTTAGTGCCACCTGCAATGCCTTTGGTGTCCAGTCCCTTCCATGACCGATTCCACAGCACTAAACTAGGCCCTGATGGCAAACAGGAATCACAAAGGCATGTCTGCTTTACCCTTTCACACAGTGACCCAGCTGGGTTTGGAGGAGAGGAGACATCCCATCTGCACAAAAGGGAAGGCATCTGCTAAGCCCATTATCTCACGGTCACTAGGAGCCTGATCTGGCAAGAGCATCAAGGCTGTGCAGTGGGAAAGGAGGGACAGGAGAAAACAAAACAAAAACATCAACCCAAGCCAAACCCTCAGCACCCAGCATGCTGCCCTTTGCACACACTGACTGCTGCTTCCACAAGCATCTCCTAGCTATGGTGACATACAAGACAACAGTTCCTCTGAGTACCGGGCAATCACTGCACTCCCAGGGGCATTGGGAATATACATGTGGGAAGAATTAAAGAAACCAGAGAAAAGAGACATGCTTTCACAAATCAAGAATTCTCTCCAATCAAACTGAAGTTCAGTTCCTGGAGAAAGATGAAAAACTATCAGCTCAAGCCAACTGGAAATCCCTCCGCTTCGCTCTCCCACCCAGTCTTGCAATTGCAGAAAGGAGGCAGGAGAATGAAAGAACCCAAGTCAGACCCAGGTTAATAAACGTAATGGAGATAAGAGCAACAACACCCTCAATGCTTATTGACACATCCCACTCTTTTGCAATACACATGTGCTGGCAACGTTTTCCATCAACACAGCCTGGGAACGCGATTCTGTGCTTAGGACACCCATCAACACCAGTAGCTCAAGCACACAAAGAACTGGACCCTTGAACATGACCAGAGACTCTGGGGTGAGGATTTTAGGCACTGTGAGGTAGCAACTTAGCAGAAAATCCAAGTTCCCCCCTCTGAAGCAATTTTTAGCACTATAATCCCAGTCTTTTGCTCTGTCCTAGAGCAATGTTTAGCAGTCTAATTCTGATCTTACTTACTCAATTAGCAGTAAGCCATTGAGCCCAGCCTGTTCCAGATAGTAGCCACATGGTTCAACATCCTTCCCAACATGAAGGAAGTCAGCCTCACAGAAATTACATTTTATCAGCACCATGACATTAGCACTCATAACGCTCCCTAAGACGCCTTCACATCTGACAAGGGGAGGAAAGACACACAGAGAACCTGCAACAGAGCCAAAAACTGAATGAATCCCAGCCGAGCACCTTGGCCACACAACCCCAGGAAACTCCACCACACCGAGTGCATTGCGGGGAGCTGCTGGCTTAGCTGAAAAACCCAATGGGAGGGTGGGTGTTGAGCATGCAGCCGTGGGGAGACACTGCATGCAAAAGCCATGCTGGGGGGGGGCTTGTCACCCACGAGATGGTGCTTAGAGAATGATGCTTTCAGACTTGACATCTCAGTGTGCAGAAAGACTTGATAGCAATACTGAAAACAATTGCAATTAAATTGAGTTTGTGACTGAGCTAAAATATGAGCTGGAAGTTGCTAAAGAAAAACGAAACAGCAAAGTCTCAGCCATGCCAGGGAACAGACTGAGGGGAGACTTCAGTTGCAGCTGCCTGCTCTATCACCATTTCACAGCCAAGTGAGGCAGGAGGGACACAGAAGAACAGACGACAAAAAAGAATCCTTGCTAATTAGCAATTTCATTCTTTGAATACTTTCTGGGTATTTGGGGTGGGTTGTTTGTTTTATACATGTGTGCATACATGCATACACACAGAAGCTTCTGAGGTATTTCAATTTAAGGGCAGCTGTGATTCTGTGGGACTTGCTGGCTCACTTGCACCAAAGCCGAGTGCAGAATGGCTCTGCGAGAAGAGACAGGCACGGGGTGATCTGCAGCACCACCAGCTTTCCTGGAAATAAGGCTAGCTGAGAGTTCAGCCAAAGGAGTCAGGTTTATGTAGCTAGATCCATGACAAATGACAAGCTGCTTTGGAAATACATTTGGGAGGAGAGAGAAAAGGTGACAGTGTTTTAATCCTGTTACTACCAGAAGTGCTGTTCCAGGAAAACCAGCTCAAATTCTGCTCTCAGCCTGCCAGAGGGAGCAGCTGAATGAGAGGTGATCAAGAGAGATGAGTCCTACAGGGGTCAGCCACAAGCTGTCAGTTATTACTAGGACTAGTCTAGTGCCAATTCCAGTGAGCAGAAAAGTTTCCAATGTTTTTTGATGGATCTGGTAATTCAGGACACAGGGTCATGTGAAAAAGCTAAATTAAGTTCCTCTTCCCTTCCTGAGGTACGTACCGAGGAGCAGAGACAATCCCTAATAGTTGGTATTGATTGCTGGGAAAACATTTAATTCTCCTCCCACCAACCAATTAATTCACCACTTCTCCCTATACAGATTTACTAAGCCAATATTCCTCTAAAAACTATATTAATATGTGGAATATTCTATTTTCATTAGAAAAGCCATATCCCCCTTCTTCCCTGCCCCCACCACTGCCCCAGTGGGTGTTGTTATACATGAGCCTGAGTACTGCAGGGCCATCGTCCTTATCTGAATTTCAGTTGTGGTGACGCAAAGGAGCATCAGACAGTTGTGTCCTGAAACACCCCAACGTGTCCTTTGTGAGAGGAGGGAGGCCAGCTGCTCCACCTCTGCTGGTTCATCCTGTGATCCTTCTGCAGCAGCTACAGGGGGCAAGTTACCATTAGCCATGGGAAAAGATGTGAAGGCAGCTGCTAGTTCACATTCCATTTTCAAGCTATGTCAAGCCAGCTTGAGATTAGCTTATTGACATAGCAAGACCGTTCCCTTAGAGAACTGGCTTTCACCCCCACCAGTCATGCTCAACTCCAAAATAACCCAGTATCTAAGTCTCTACTGCCTTGTGTTCTTCAGCACGGCAGCTCACCACAATATATAAATACATTTTAAAAAGCCTAGAAGAAGATACAGGTCACCCACTTCCAAGAGAAGCAAGATGAGAGTAGATAGAGAGCTACTGCAAGGAGTGCTCAAAAGGAATTAAGGCCCATCACAAGCTTCATCACCTTTCACTCAGCAGGCCCATTCCCCTAAACTACCCATCTCTAACCTGAAAAGCATTCAAGCAGCATGTGCTATTTATCACTGTATACAAACACCTCCAGCCACAGCAGCCTGCTACTCCTCTGTCTCTGGAGAAGAGCTAAAGATCAATCACCTAAAACTGATGTTAGCCGGGCAGCTGGGAAGGCCCTTAACCACAGCTACGAGCTCTGAGATAGACAGAAAGGCTACTTCAAGCCTGCGCAATGCATAAGGATAAGGACCATCACAAAGGTTAAAAACCCCAGAGCAGGAGAGGTGGCAAGTGGGGAAGAAGGGCCTCTTCAGACCCACATCTTCAGCAGCAGGACTTTTGCACCAAGGGCACCATGATGCTCACCTGTTGATGTCAGACCACACTGATATCCATTTGCCAGCCAGCAAAAGGTCAGTTGACCCATGAAGTATTTCAAGTGGCAAAAAAAAAAAAAAGACACAAACAAAAATAGGAGCAGAGCAGGCTGAAGAGGGAGAGGGCATTCTGGACATTCCACCCAGCAGCTCCTGTGACTGTGGCTCACCCATGACACTCCAGCTCCCTCTGGAAGAGCTCCATGTCGGCACAAATATCACCCTCTGCGCCAGGGACATTCCAGCAGCAATAAACAGGATGCAAGCTTAAAGAAAAGGCTCTCCGACAGGGATGGAGAACAGAGGATGGCACAGACAGTGGATGGATGTAGGGACAGCATCTCCTGTCCCTGCTGGAAGGAGGCACGCACAGAGAGGTCACACCCCAGACTGCAGATGCCGTACCTTGCCTGGACTAATGGAGCAGGCAGGGAACTGTGCAGATCCCTGCTAAACCTGCTTCTCATTCAGCACCAACAAGAATTCAAATGGACTTCTTCCTACACATCAGCAACACGCACGGCACCCTCCTTTCTCCTCAGTCCCATTACCCAGCTAAGGCTCCAGACTGGCCAGACACACCGATACCAAAAAGTTTCTAAATGAAGCCAGCTAGCAGAAGGAAGTAGAGGTGCTTTTGACATTCCTCCAGCACCTGGAAAACCCGATGCCTTGTTAGTTTGGGATGGCATGACCAAGCTATTTTGACTGCAAGATTTTCAGAAGCCAGCTCCTGTAACCAGGGACCTCATTCTGGAGCTGCTTAAGTTCTACTTAGCTATCTGTTGGAGCGATGCTTGTGTGATGCTCAGCACAGATGCTCCCTGCAAGAGTCCCCAGCTACGATCTTCACACTTGGCTTTCAACTCAGATAGTTGCTGAGCATCACTGGAGTTCTCATGTTTCCCATTGGTAGATCCCAGTCCAGACTTGAATTTAGGAACAGGATGAGTCAGAAGGAATTCACTAGCATGATATCTCTCAAGGTTAATTTAGCTTGGTTGCCTGTCCCTTGC